CTCTGCGCTCTCGGGAACCCTGCTCCCTGTGGCTGAAACCTCGACGGAGGGAAGGCAGGGCCTCTAGGAAGGGAGAAAAGCACTGCTTTCACTGAAGTCCACACTGAGTTCAAGTAACAGAGAGAGATGCTTTCTGCCTGGATTTCAAGGACAGGCAGAATAGAGTGTTCAGTATTGAAGCCCGAGCCCAGCTTCCAACAAGAGCAGAGCAAGTTCTTCCGAAAATGCCCAGCCGCCCACAAGAACCATATGCAATCAGACATCTACAGTCACAGATTCCATACTTACAGATCTAGAATAGGACAGTAGTAAATGGCACATATTTAAACTTCTCCTGCTAATTATAGCCCACTGCTAATTAATAATAAACTCATTAGCCAAAAGCAACTGCTATTTAGTTTCCATTTTTTTCAGGCTGCGCAGCAACTAGCCAATTAGAGGAATGTTAACCTACACTAGGATAATAAAGCTAAAAAAGGCATCATCGCAAGCGTTTCAGATTATGTTAATTTAAAAGAGACAAAATGCAACATTTTTGGTCATTGTAGTATTTCATTCAGGTAATGAAGGAAAAAAAGGTAAAAATTAGAGGGAGTGCGAAAGTCTTGGGTACATGCAGAACAGACAGAATTATCCTGAGGATTCACAAAACAGAATACACTTGAGAAAATACTGCCAATTGTTTTTTTATTCCCTCGTAAACAATTTCTTATAGAAAAGGATTATATACAAGAATACTCCTGTACAGAAATTCCATATATTTACTAAACATTCTTGCTAGATATTCCAAATGGTTGCAAGAATATGTCTCTTAATAAGCATAGGAACATAAATCACCTTCTGCATCTATCAAAATTCTCACTTGGGAAAAAGTGGCATAAAAATTTAAACTAATATTGGAAATGAGATGTTTACTGGTTTTGGATGATTATTCTTTGACCACAGGTAAGAAAGACAGAAATATTTATATAAAAATGTCATTAAAAATACCACAATATTGATAAATTCCTACAAGACAGCAACTCTAATTTCATTCAATATAGGATTCTGTAGTAACTATGTAACATCTGTCACTAGACTTACCTGTGATGTAATATTAAAAACCTGTCTACACAGTTGTTTTGCTTTAGTTTTGAGGCAGACCTCAGCTCACTCTTCCTGAAGTCCTAAGTGGTGGGAGGCCAAAGAGCTTTGATCTGAAAGTGCTGTGTTCTGTGTAGGGTTTGAGTGCACCGCCTTCAGATCAGAGCTAGCCAGTATCCACATACCTTGGAGCATTGGTAAAGCTGGAACAGGTCTACTCATTAACAACAAAAAAAAAGTAAAAAAAAAATAAAATCAGTCAGATAAGCAACATCCTTCAAAAATGCAGAGGTGTCAGAAAGGGTCATCCACTCTGATTTTCACCCCTAAATCAAGGTAAAGTATGCTCTTTATATGAGTTACTACTTAAAGTGCTCTATTGGCTATCTGCTATTCTCTCAATCTGCTTCTAAGCAGTTGTCCAAATAACAATGTTAACCCAGCCGAATACTGAGTGTTAGCTCTTCAAAGCAAAACAAAAGCTCCGCGTGCCTACTGTGTGCAGGGAGAGCAAAATCTGTACCTACCATTTACAATGTAGTTTTGTATAATCTCTTACTCATTCTATCAAATAAAACAATCACAACCTGTATTATGTTCTCTAGCTACTGACAATGTGGATTTAAGTGCCATCTGCACAGCTGGAATTATTAACTAAAGCTCATAAAAAATAACAAACGGGAGAGGAAATAAACTATCACAAGGCAGTACACATCAAATACTTCACTGTTAAGCATCTCTATGCTGCAATTACTAAGATGGAGCAGCAATGCAATCCTTTGCCATCAACACTACGTAATTTCAGAAAAATGCAGATAAAACAGCTCACACATTTTGAAAGATAAAACAAACATACAAGGAAACACCTGAAAGAACAAATCAAAACCCATCCTTGTAGGGCAGTTTCGTAATAGTCTCTGAAGTCAAGATTTGGAGACAAGATTTTGTGACCTAAGGCTTCAGTCAGGCAGATCTTCTCTCCCCACCTCAAAAGACTCTTTGCTGATTGACAATAGTTCACGCAGCTCTTTGTTTTCAAGCTGCAAAATCAATATTTTTGCTGAAATAGAAATAAGCTAATTCACAATTAAAGGACTATAATAGAAATGAGCTAATTCAAAATTAAAGGTCAATAATCTTTGAATAGCCTCACTCGTTCACAGCCAACCAAAACACTGATTTTGTAACATAAACATTAATACAGTGCTAGCAAGAGGGGAACCACATCATTTAAAGCTCATCTTTTGCTTCTGGCTTCATATATGTATATAATACAAACATCAACAACAGATCATGTTCTGCATCTCCTGATCCCACCCCCAAATTTTTTATTGTTATAAATCCTTGACACATACATAGAAAGTCCAGAGTAAGTCTAGAGACTCCCAAAGCTTGATCTGTCCTTACCAACTGTATCTGTTCTTACCTCCAATTGAGCTAGTTTCTCCTGAACTTTAAAGAACTGATCATCATCGACTTGAATAGCTTTTCTCATCACCTCTCCCATTTCACATATTCTGTCTATTTGACTTTCAATTTCCTGAAAGACATAAAAGTAACATATTCAATATGTTCAGGCAAAAGCAGCAGTAACCATTTACCCCTTCTAAATCAATTACTTTCATTTTCTTGATTTTTTTATTATTTTCCTGGTTTGAATTTTAATCCTTTCCTCCAAAACACCTGAAATCCCTTCGAACTTGTATAACATCTACAGATTAACACATGTACCTTATTGTCCATTATCATGAGTCATCAATGAAAACAGTGAATAGAATTACATCAGTCAGCAAGATAAGGCACCCTTACTTACTAAGATCGAAATAATTTCAAGTGTGACAAGGACTGAGACAACAGATTCAGGTTTATGTGAATATGATTAGAATACACCAAATTTTATATTGCTTTATTAGAAAAGCGTGACTGAATTTATAAGAACGCTGAATATAAAAGCACATGAAATTTCAAGAATAAGTAACAGTGTAAACAGCCTCATCTCAGAAGGAAGCCAAGCAAGGAAACTAAAATAAATAAGACCAGAGCCTCCTGCGGCAGTTTCTACAGATTCTGTCTAGATACAGCTCTACTCCTTTGGAAGATGCATTTTGTTGAAGCTCAGAAATGCACATATAATGAACACTGAAAAATTCTAACACCTAATGTAGCAACAGTTCCTTTTGAAGAGCATTCTGTTTAACAGTACAGTATTTAGAGAGGAACTCAAATGTGCAAACATGAAAATGTCAAGTAATTGGCAAGAAGCAGCAAGATAAGAACTTGGAAGCTTCTGAATCATTTGAACATTATACAAAAATACGAAGTTATCACAAAGCACTTTGGGGAATATCCAGTAATGTTATAGGGTGGACTTTCTTTTCTCTAAGTATCAGTAGTTATTCCACTGCCTCTGGAAGATAAATGTATCATCAGAGCAGAGAATTCGGTTTTGAATTCCATTATTCAGAAAATATGTAAACAAATCGGAGCATCTAGGAGACAGGTTGAGGAACAAGAAATACTTAGATAACTTAATCTGGGAAGAAAGAATTATGTTTTTTTTTCCCTAAACAGAAAGAAGGTTACAATTTATAATAAGAATATAGCTCTTTGAGCGATATTAAAAGGTTGTTACTATTCTCCAAGGGGTGGGTAGGAAAAAACTCATGGACTTAATCTGAAGTACAGAAGATTTTGCCTAGATATTGAGATAGTCTAGGAACGTTCCATCAAAGGTTCCTCCAGAGCCTTTTCAGCTTTGCATTTCCATGCCATTAAAACGGAGCAAAAGCAGTTCCAAAGAATAACGCTAGAAGTTTTGTTCAAATGTTAAGTCTTGATAAACAGAGCACTTCATACACCTAAGCAAGCACTGGAAGCAAGACATTGTTACACTACTTAACTTCAGAGGACCTAAGCAACACAAAACAGAACTAATGAGTTGCCATCTATCAGTGCGAAGATACATGTGCAAAGAGCTAGGCTGGCTCCCATTACAATTAAAAAAAGCACAAGATATGAGATGTCACTAGGTTGAACCAGCTTGCTGTTCTCTAATCACATAAAAATGCATTTTAACAAATGCCTAACTTAATTCATAAGCCTTAAATAGAGATTTAATGTTATTATATTGTTATTAGACACCTAAACGTAAAACAGGCAGCAGTTATCAGTAGCCACACCTTAAGAGTTCTGAAGTCACTGCACCCAACATGGATGGAGGGACACTTTTAGGCCACTGCACATAGTATCCAGATTTAAAAACATTCGGGAGTGATGATCTCTTAAGAATTAAACACACTGCAGCTCACAGAGATTTAGCAGGTTCTTCTCCCTTTGTTACAATTACTGAACAGGAACAACAACAACTCCGATGTCTTTGATTTTACTGTAGAGAATCACGTGCATAAAGCTTAACCCAGAGAATTCACCAGCTAGTGCATAAAGCACTTCAGCTGTGCCGTGAAAGGGTTACGCTTTTCAGTGTCCTCTGTGATAATTGTTACAATCTGTGTGCTGCAAAAGGAATAGAGTGAAAAATACCAGCAGAGAGAGATGAGTTTCAGAAAATGTATTCTGGAGTAGAGACATTCCATGAATGGAAACAAAGGTTATATAAAAGCAAGCAAGAGACAGGGAACAGGGCTCTTGAGCCCTCTTCTGCCCCCATCCCACCTTACCAAAGAATTAGCCTGATGAACTTTCAAGACTGGTTCTGCATCTTCACCTTTTCTCCCTTGCAAAAGCTGTAACATCTGCTTTCTGTATTTGCTCATGATAAGCTCTAACGCATCTTGGTGCTCCTCCAGCGAGATCCATAGCTCTGCAAAACACAGTATGTCATTGCCACAAACTACAAGCAAATTTTCACAGCAATGACAGCAGATGCGCAGAGGTACTCGGTACCAGCTGCTCGCTTGATTTGTGCTACCCCACCACTCCCCTCGACAGCGCAGCCCTGGGACTCCAGCCCGGGGCAGCCGGCTGGCCGGACCCGTCGGTAGCCAAGAAGCCATCCTGACGCCGGCAGTCACTTCCACGTGGAGGCACCCAGCGACTCTGACAGAAGGCAAAGCAGATGCACTCCCCATCCCCTCAACAAGCCCCCTCCGGCCTGGGTCGCTAAGCGCGCAGCCTCCCTCAGCACACTGCTCCAGCACGCCCCCCGAGGGTCCCTCTGCACATTACCCTCCAGCACCCCCAAACCCCCGCACACCTCCCGCACATTCCCTCTCCCGTGTTCCCCCAGCGCACCACTCAACACGGGCCCTGG